GCAAAAGTATCACATGTGGAACATTGCACTCATCATACTAGTTAAAATGAAACCCAGCTTCAGGTTATGCTGAGTAAGATTCCTTGCTTGCTACCACAACACTCACACAGTAAGAACTGCAATTCAAACTAAGTAGGGATGTATTCCAGTTTAAAAAAATAAACTAAAAACCCCCACAATATACTACAGATTACTTTTTATACCAAGCAAATGGAGATTCTCAGTCAGCATTAAAACACTTTTTTCCCCAAATAAATACCAAATAGAATATACAATCACTGTTAAATGAAAGTGCTCAGGTCAAGCATTTGTGTGTAGGTGTACAAACACATACATAAAACATACACACGGACAAAATATGGAGAACACAAGAAACATATTGCAATAACGGCTCTCTTCTTAAAGACAGATTTATATAACAGCATAAAACTTGGATGTTATTTTTTCTACTATAAAAGCTCCCCAGTATCTCTAGATATCTGCCTTCAATAAATCCTGAAAACATTCTGCTCACATACTGAGTTTTAAGGAATGTGCAGCATACGTCAGCTTCAATAAAACCAGTACCATGCTTTAATTACTCCATTCACCCAGCAGCTACTTTAACAAAGTACTTTTCTGACCATGTGAAAATGTAAAATACCCAAAAAACCAGCCATCTATGTGCAATGACAACTCAGCATCTAACAATAACGGATATACTGAAGGACCAAAATGTGAGTTGTGCCAAGTCCATAATTTTCAGTAAGTGACTGTAAAGCCCTTTGAGTCAGCACTAAGATTTTAAAACTCTAACCCTAATCAATTGTAAACAAAGAAATAAAGGTCTTGTCACAATATATGTTGCAGTTGAGATGATCACCATACAACTTCAGAAGGCTTTAAGCATTCCCCCAAACAGAGCCACACCTTACCACATCAGAAGGCTTCAGGTGTCTGCCCATACAGAGTAATAACACCATCCCACTTCAGAAAGCTGCAAGCAGCTGCCCTTCTTGCTCTTTAGCCCAGCCTTTTATCCCCTCATGTTGATGCACTGCCCCTGTGTGCCTCTGCTCCCTTTGGTGTTGGTCAGTGCCCCTGGGCACTCCATGGCTCACTGCTGTCAGTGCTGCTCACCTGCTGCTCACAGCTCTGCCACTGGGGACGAGGCTGGGCCAGCCCCATCCCAGTCACCACAAACTGTGTGCCTACAAGATCTCACAGTTATTTCCAAAATCTTAAACACTAGCATATAACTTTTAAAATAATTTTTCTGCTTTTTCTGATTTGCACAGCATTCTTCCCAAGTAAATATGGACTTCTGCATGAAAACAGGCTTGTATATACAAGCTGAAAAATAACAACACCTATTTAAACACATGAGCTAATTATACCTGGCATTTGGACTTTGGTGGTAATGTATTGATTGCCATAGAGCAGAACACACTCCTGTTGGCCAAAACCAAAGGTGCACAGGATTCAGAAATCTACATGGCGACAACCTCTCCCCTTCTCCAAACGCTTCTGCCCAAAAGCCTTTTCACGGTAGAGGACAGCAAACACCATCTCCCCAGGCTGCAGGGCACTTGGAAAAGTATGACTTGCACACATTTGGTGACAGCATGGCAACAAAAAGCCTATTAAACAGAAAAAAAGGCAGATAACTGGATACAATCAACTGGCAATCATTTTCTTGTAATGCATTAGTGAATGGATGCCAGCTAACTAATCTTAGTAGAGAACAAACCTAATTTATCCACAGCAGGATGTTGTCAGATTATTTTCAACCTAATAATTATTTCTAGCAGAAAGGCAGCATTACACTTTGTAGAAGCAGACACTCTGCAGAAGACATTTGCTCTGAAAACAGACATTCATGTGCTGTTTGATTAATGTGGGTGGGGCGAGGATGGATGAACCAGAGAAACCCACCCCAGCCAATGAAACACCCCACAGGAGCAAAGCAGTCAGGTGAAAGAGGATCTTTGAAAAAGGCATGGCACTAGGAGAGAGCAACATTCCCAATGCTCCTCCCAATCCTTTTTGAAGGTAAGCTTAATTAACTTTGAGTAACTTTTCAGTGGAAGCTGCATTTCTATGAAGATATTTGCTACACTGAGACTTCTCACTCCCTTCCAAGCCAGAAGGATGTCTAAGATGACCCAGTCTGACCTCAGGTGTTGCAAAAGCCACAGAAGCCAGTGAGGAATCCCTCTACCACCCCCAACTATTTGTTCAAGCATATACCTCTATAAAAATATTTCATCCTCATTCAAAAGACAGAAAATCTAATACTCCCTTTCTAATAATTTCTAATGATTCACTGGTCTTATTAAAAGTTTGCTCCTTCGTTTGTCATAAACTGATTTTTATCTCTGTGTATTGTCAACACATATTGCCGAAAAAATGTTGTGTTATGTCTGGAGTATGCAAACAGTCATATAAAATCAAGTGTTCCATTACAGATATAAAGATTATTGTCAGGAATGCACCTTTTATTGAATCAAGTTAGAACTGAAATTAAAGGAGATAGAAAGTAACCATATAGTATCAGTTAAGAAGGTAAACTATGTTTTGTCCAACATATTTGTGGAGAACTTATATAGAAGTCATGTGCTTATAATAATAAACACACCATTATGACTGGGATTCCTGATAGATTCAGACCAAATTCAGCAATCAACAAAGAGCCAGGAAGTCTACTTGAAACCAAGCTATTATTCGGAATATTTATAAGAAGAAAATCTGCCTTCCCTGAAGTTTTGTTGTCTTTTTAGCACTACATAAACAGTATGGCAGTTTAACTATAGTATTTGATGGTTTTAAGTGCTTGGATGTAAAATTTTACTCATCAGCTTGAAATCCCTGACAGTGCTCTATGTAAGATGTTATTTTGCAGTACTGGTTTACCTGTGTATTACCACTTAGGCAGGTAAAGAGACTCCTAAGCAATCACAAGCATTTCCTTAAACATTTCAATCTTGATACTACAATAATCTGTTTTAAGATAAAAATAGTCATATGGATTATGGGCTGTCTCAGAGAGCTGTGGAGGTCATCTGCACTTAGTTCATGGTCAGGGGAGACAGGGGAGACATGTGACAGTCATTTGGGGCAGGCACATCACTCCTGATCCCAGCACTGAGAGCTCAGCCATGGCTCAGCCCTGCTGGAACAGGGCACAGCTCTCACACCTGGAGACACACCTGCTCCTTCCTCACACACGTTATTTTCTTCCCTTCCATACGTCCAGTATGGCCACTGCATATTCCTCATCCTTTACCTTAAGGACAAATAAAAGATAATGGATGACACATAACCTGAGCTGGAGGCTCAGTTCTTTCTGTGGCTGTGTTCTTTTCACCTGAAAAGAACAGCGCCCTGAGAGGAGATGCAAACAGTGCTGCTGCTCTCAGGTTTCTGACAGTTCTCTTGTTCTTTGTAAGCCCAGGCTGGCTCTAGGAAGGCACCTACACTCCATGGCCTTTGCACAAGAAGGGGCAGTGTGGAAGGAGCTGTTCAGTGCACTGCTTTTACTCACTATGTCTTTGAGTACTAAAGATTATCCATACCATTCTAATTTTGGCACATGGGATAGCAAGAGCTTGGATGCCTCACCAGACTCCAGCACCTACTGATCCAACACTGTAGAGAAGCAACAGCAGCCACTCCTGCTGGAGGTGTTCTCCTTCTCCACTCAAGGCAGCTGATGTGTCAAAAGCAGCTCTCCTGGGGCATGTGTTGGCTGAGGCAACCTCTTTGATGAGTAAAGTAACAAGTGTGTTCTCTAGATAATGGAAACACTTGTACCATTCCCACACCTTGACCAGATACATTTTCCTGAAATAGGTGTCTGGCATGTACACACACACACTGGTTCTCTCCCCTCATACTGGCACACACAAGGAATAAGTCAAAGAACACAGGTTTATTCTGCATTATCCAGGGTGTCCCTGGAATGTGAATATTATGCATGACAGATCTGCACAGCTTTCTAACACGTCCAATTTTTACCACATCCAAGATATGTAACTGCACCTGCTGAAAAGGCGACACACCAGGGCCAGCGCTCAGCAACACTCCTGTCAACACAGCACCCTTCCCAGACATGACGTCTGCACAGCTGGTCTGTGCATGCCCTGTCCTTTCATCAGAGTGACCCAGGGCACTGGATAACTAATATTTGATAGCACGATTAACTTGGGCTGAAGTCAGTCTGTGTGTGCTCAGGGAAACAGCTCAGCCTGCTTCCCTAGCAGGGAGAGAATGAGCCAGCAAGCGTGCATGAAGCCTCCTCCTTCAACCAGCACAGCTGCTGACAAAGGAGCCTGTATCTCTCGCCTTCTCTGAAGTTAATCCCAGCAGTTTAAAGCAGACTTGTGAAAAAAGCATGAATCTGAAGTTACTCTGAAATGCTACTCCAAGGACACATTAGTTCCACTAGAGTCAAAGTATATGCCAGACGCAATAGGTCGAGTTCTAGTCGAAGAGATTGCACAGAAAGTAAGAGCTAATAATTCTTAATTTGGCATAACATGACATTCCCAACAGCTTCTCTCTGTCCTTCCAGTAATTGTATCTTGGCAGTGTACATATTAAAAAATCATTGCACAAAAGACATGTACTGTTGGAAAAAAAAACTCCAAAAATCAAACTACCTTTCTTTGTGTTGTGTCGTTCCAAAAACTGAAGACACTTTCACTGAAAGGGAAAATATGCTGATCAAAGCACAAAGGGGACAAAACCTCATTCATTCCTTATTTGTTTAAGAATTACTAATAAGAAACAGTTTTGCAGGAGGCTAGAGCAACAGTAATTTAGACATTAATAAATTGGGCATTGTAACAATAACTATTCCATTGAATAAAAATAATTCTGGCAAGAAACTTTTCACATGGCATTCAACAGATATTAAAATAAATGAATGAAGTTTGCAAGTTAAATTACTTCAAAAATAAAGACTTTCCAGCAGTTTCCCATAATGACAACATTCAACAGAAAGATACAATAGCTCTTTATAGCCTAAAAATTGTCAGTTTTATTTTACAAAGATGACTTCCAAAAGCATCTTGTCATGACAATCGAGTTTTGAGGAAAAAACAATCTGTTGTTTGATAAACAGAAGAAATTAACTGTCATTAAAGCCACTTAAGCACTCCTCCTTCCTGTTATCCCTCTCATCTTGGCAGTAACTGATAAGAAGATTTCAGGGAGGCTCAGTCATTGATGGCAGGATCTAGAAAAGAAACAATTTTGCATACAGTTATTCTCATTCCCAGGTTCCAGTTATTGCATTTCACTAAACTGCACTTAATTGGCTCCTTCTGCCCCTGGCATGGGCACAGTGGACCATGTACTTCATACCAATCACTGTTACTCACTGTGCTCCCTGTTACACCTTACACCATGAAAATATCCAGGCGGCTGCAATCCTGTGGTGTTAGTATTACATACAAAGGTAACAAAGTCCTGGTAGCAGAGCCCTGTTATCCACCAAGTGTGAATTGCTAATAGCAGCCAGTGCTTTAGCCAATAGGGGCCAGACATTGCTCATTATCATGCAGTTCATTACTTATGGGACATGGTTGAACTTGAGCCTGTAACTTCTGGAAAATGTACCACTCGTCCACAGGAACGCACCAACAAAATAAATGAAGGACCAGATGCAATGGTTACAGCAGAATTAGTGAAGAGGTAAACTATAACTGCATATTTCCTTCCCCACAAAAAAACATTACCCAAGATTTTTTCTGACTAAGCAAGCAGCTTCAAGAGGAAAGGAGGACATGGACTGGGCAAAGAAAAAAGCTCTGAGCCTTGCATATCCAGACTGAGTCCCGTGCAACCCCAGGAGGTTGTGTGCATGGCAACCCCACTTCCAACAAACAGAGTAATTAATTGTATTCCCACATTAAAGCTACCATGGCACACCTCCACCTTGGCAGATTTCTAGCTGGCTTTAATCCTTTCCACCCTCCACATGCCAGGTTCCTCACACCAACTGGCCCTCGGTGACAGCTGAGTTTTCAATGCCATACAGTACCTTGATGCAAATGGGTTTTGCCCTTTTTTCCACCTTTTGCTAGGCTACACTGCCACTTAGTCACTGCACTGACATAACAACTCCACCTTCTCTACTGCAGTGCAGCTGTACATCCACTGACGTGACAACGGGAAGTGAGGGCTTCATCCCTACAGGAACAGAGCTGCCTTTCAGTTTGCAACTTGCATCATTTTCATGCTGAGGACAGAGCATATGGTCCTCGGAAGGGACATCAAAATAAATATGACAGGTCAGTGCAATCATCATACTGAATGAATTCAAATGATGCTGTATCTAAAATGAAATGTGTGCACATAATAAAGATTCAAATGACAAAAAAATTCCCCTACCCTTTATCCTTCTCTGAATTATTTATGAATTCTGCAACTCCAGCTGTTGCCACCAGCCCAAGGACACTACTTCATTTTGGGAATGACACTTCATATTAAAAGATAAGTTAACAAAAGAAAAAAGAAAAAAAAAAAAAAGACACTGCAGGCCTTTAAAGACCACAGAAAAGCACAATACATCTTTTCCCAGCTCTTACAAAGGAAAATAATCAACAATCAATTCTGTTCATGTTTCTCAACTTGTTTCCATAATTCCAGACACAGATTTCAACACTCATGCATTAAGTCAGCCATGCCTTTTTAACCATTGCAGTTAAGCAAGACTCTCACAGCATCTTGGATCCCTCACGTATTTTTATAGGGTTATCTCAATCTTACAGTTCACCATAAACCATATGGCAACACACCAAAGACTGAGATACTATCTGCACTACTGACAGCTTTTAGTACATAAAATGGTCATTCCAAAAGAATAGAATATTTGCATATATGGAATTGCTTTTGGGAAAGCAATAATTTGGCCACAAATTTAAACAAAAAGAAACAACACCTTCAAAGTGCAGTTTAGGGCACAAAGAATTGGTTTCAAGTAATCATGACATTTAGATGAGCAAATTTTACATAGTGTTGTCTGCCCACTTGTAGACTGCTCTGATTTGGATTCCATCACATATCAGTTCTTAGGTTTCAAATAAGTAATTTGGCCAATGGGAAGGAGGCAGCATGGAGACGGCTTAGCCAGTAAGCACAGCTTCCACCACCTACATCAACATGCTCTCCTTATGACTTTAAACTAAACTTGTTTTAGTTGGCTGGTCTGTAGAGCAGACAGATAACACAGAGGCTGAGTAAACAGGAAAAACAAATATAAATCCACCATTGGTTTTGGTTGCTACTTTATTCACAATGGAATCAAGATCTGAATTGTTACACAAAACCACCCACTACAAGAACATACTGATGCACTGTGTTCACTGTGAAATTTACTGAAATGAGTCAAAATTTGCAAGTTGCTGAGTGCTGAGTGACATACAGCCCCTAAACATTAGCCCTTCATGACTACCAATAGCCTCATCTCTGCCACAAATGACATTAATCTGTTCTCTACCCATGATCTTAATTTCACTGTGTTTTCTACTTTTACCTAACTGAACAGCAACTGGGCTTATGTTCTGTTCCTGGGAGATCCCAAATGCCACAAGACCTTTACACAAATTAATTATTTAGGGGTTTTTTTTGTTGGCAGTTTTTATTTTCTCCTCCATAGTCCACCTGAAAGTAGACTAGCAATTGTCACAGTTCTAACACAGAAAGATGTATGAATAAACTGCAGAGCTTCCAAGGCACCATCATCAGACATCTTCAGTATCACCCACAAATTAAAATAAAAAGTCAAAAATGCACCATTTGCCTTTAGTGCCAAGCACACGGTTCAGGCCTGAGCTGGAATGCCAGATATTCAATAAATAAACTCATCTTTGAGAAAGGCAGCAAAGCCAGAGTTGTTGCCTGTCTTGCAAGTGAAAAATGCCAATGGCTTGCAAGCAGAGATCTGCTGTTACTCAGTTTGGTACCATGAGCTCATGCAGTGTTATCCAGGAAAAGGAGATGTTGTTAAAACAAACATTTATTTGCCCTTCAGTCTACAGCAGAGCTGGCACCCAGCCCTGAACAGCCTCCCTCTGCCTCGCTACTGTGGGAAAGCTACTGAACAAGAATCCTCCCCTTCCATCTCCTGCTGCTGGCCAAAGAAACAAAAAGGTACAGAAACAAAGAACAGGCAGAGAACCCGAGGTGCGTAAAATGTCACTGAGCAGGAAATTAAGGTTCAACACTGTAACATTTGTAGATCTCTTGTAACACTTACAAGAGCCCCAAATTCTCCTGTCACAGCTAAATACTTCAGTTTATTAATAATTATTCATATCCTCCAATATTTTGGAAGTCAGGTGCTATGACAAACCCTCTCAAAACTACAAGTATTTAGTTGTAACCCGCTCAAACATACATCTCACTTTTTTTCTGAAAACTAGCAAATTAAAAACAGGAACATATCCCACATTCCAGGGTTGCCATTTAACTCTCAATGCCACAGGTTCTCAAGTGCCTCCTGAAATAGTTTCTAGCTGTGCTAAAGGAATGACATTTGGAAAAAAACACCTGTGTGCTGATAGGAAAACATCCTTCTGAAGATTTTCACAAGCTAGTTGGATGCAATTGAAGTTAGTCCTCAGAAAATAAGAGAAGTCGTCTTCATGCCCAAACATGCTCACTAAATGCTTCTGGCTATGACATTATTTCATAATTGACACATTACACACAAACACCCCAAGAAAATATCTTTTTGTCTATGTCTGGATTACACGGCGATTTATACCCAGGGCTTCTGCAGAGCCTTCCCCATGTTGCACGATGCTCTTGAATACAAATGACCAATTGATCCTTTCACGTGATAGGGTGGGGGTTGTTTTAGTGTTCAATACTTCTAATGTTTAAAAAAATTGTACCTCAACATGGTCTTTAATCCTTACCCTGAACAACTGAGTACATTCGTATTAATCTATTAGATGCCTTTCCACACCACACCTATGGCACTGCATAAATTACTGTAATTTAAATGAATTACTGCTTGAGAATTCCCATGTGGTAAGAAACACGCAGTGTTATATGTTATGGAAAGAAAAATGTGCATTATGGTAACTAAGTTTTATACCACAGTATATCTAGGTGCTCATAAACCAGCCATTCTAAACTGTTGAAGGACAAGAATATTAGACTGATCACACAGAACACGCATCAGTATGTCAAGAAGTCAATAATATGAAATTAAATCTACAGTTTATTTAGATATATTCCCATGCCCATATTGAGATTCCACATTAAAAATGCCATTAGGCTAGCTGAAGAATATTACTGCAAAAGATATTTATACCTACAGTAATTCTATCTCTGCCCTGGACAACTTGCATTTCCCTCTTTATGTGTTTGATCTACTGAAACATATTGAAGAAAACAGAACTCAGAGAAAAAAAAATAAAAAAAAGAAGAAAAATAAACAGGAAAAAACCCCCAAAGTTCTTTTGTTACATTACTCCACATATTACCAGTGTTTAAGGATGACTTGTTTAAGACTGCACATTTCAACTACCTAACAGTAAAGAATGAAAAGCTTCTTGCTACAAGCTAAAAAGAAAGTCTTTACCATGCTCCTTGAAGAGCTCATTTTCACATTACTCAGGCTTCATTATGCTGAATCAATATTCGTTTAGTCACTGGGTTATTGACATATTTTAAAATAAAAGTATACCCTTCAGCTACTGCACTCATTACGGGTAATTTGTCTTGTCAGGGAGCAGGGAATATTATCCCAGTCTTTCAGGGGCTGACAGCCCATGGAAATACCTCCCCTTGGTTACAACTGTAAATAATTTTAAGGTAAAATATTGAAAAATCAATGACTGTTTCCTGCAATCTGTCACAAACAAATCAATCATAATCTGCACAGCCAGAGAGTATGATTTGAAGGAGATGAGAGCAGATGTAATTCTTGGCTGGAATCTCTCATTTCAAAATCACCTCACATAATGGTGTCATCATTTAAACACTTAGCAGTCACTGCAACTGCCACTCATAACATCTAGTTGGACAAAACCACAAGGAAGAGGAGGAGAAATGCCACTGCTGTTATGTAAACAAACACTTTATTTCAATGGTTGCAACATTAGCAAATTTCATAGATATAACAACAAGGCCTGCCCCTCCACAAATGTCCAGGGTGCTTTTCCTTCTCAGTGGAAGACTGCCTATAAATGAGCCTCGCAAATTGCAAAGCATTTTAAATTTTAAAACCAAACTATGCTTCATAAAAGGTGAGAAATAGTATCTGGTACTAATACTACTTCTAAAAATATTTTATTCACTCCAAATTGCTCATAACAGAATTATGCATCAAATTCTTAAGAGATTAAGAAAGGAGAATTATCTGAGGTACCTTTGTCTTTTTAAGGGCAATAAGGATTTCAATGCTTCTTTGTCCTCTACATATTACATTTCACATCTAATTTTCATTAAGCACACACTGACTCAACTTCAGGGTAGGAACCACTGCAAAGTACATGCGAAAGAAAGTCATAACCTACATAAATTAATTGCTAATATATTTTCAACTTTCATTCAAAGATTAAATGTTGTATATATGGAATTACATCTGTATAAAGGATCAATTTATACACAAAGAATTAACTACTGCACTCAGAATGCTATAAACTGACCTTTGTAAATGTGAATAAATTGTGTAAAACTAATCTATTTTTATAGAGTAACACTGATGTTTAGCCCAAAATTATTTTTTCATTTGTCCCCCCACCTCACTACATTTTTACCCCAACACTTTGGTGTTTAAAAGAATTCTCTGCAGATAAAACAGGATAAAACTGTTGTGCAACTGCAACCACAGGCCTAAGCCTGCATTTTTTGCACAAACAAAATTTACAAATGCTCATGGAGTGTTTCCCTCTGGAGTCTATAATTTGAGCTCTTAATCTTTAATGTGCAGAGCCCGTTATCACATACTCATTTTAATCACATTAACCTTAGCAACTCCTAATTCTGAATATTTATCTTACAACTGTGAGACTAAGAAAAAAATGCAACCAAAAAGATGAAATTATTTTCTCTTTTCTTGAAAAAAATCCCTTAATACTGTTTTTAAAAATCAAAGAATAGGGCATATTGTACATCTAAGTAAACCTCTCCAAGGTTTGCCTTCCTTTAAAGCAGGCTTTAAGTCTCTTTATCTTCTACTTGGAAAACATACATCTCTAACTCTTTATTGATATGCATCAAAACCACTATTGTTTGTAGCAGCTGGACAGATTCCCTTTCTCAGCAAAATAAATTATTTAAAAAAAAAAAAAAAAAAAGAAACTGAAGTTTTAGACCAGAAGAAGCAGTTAGTGCCTTAGAGGCTAACTAAGTGTAAATATCAGGCATGAAGAAAATCAGCTTATTGTGGGGAAAGGCCACTCCAAAGCGAAAGGGAGCGGGAGGAGGCAGCGGATGAGCAACGGCTAAAAACCAGAGTAGCTCCTTGAAATGAGTTGCAGTTCCCCACCTTTTCCCTGGATGAGATCTATAATGAAACTATCCCATAGACAGCCCCAGGCTCCTCAGCCCCTTTACATCTCCTCCCTGGCCCAGGGACAGTGGCAGAGGCAAGCCCTGCTCCCCAGGCTGAGCCATTGTGTGAGGGGGAAGCGTAGCGCGCAGAGAACGTGTCAGCAGCTTCCCCCAGCGCCATTCCCCTGAGCCAGCTTCTCATTTCTTGTGACAATCACCTAATTAGGTGGGTCAAGAATTGCAGAAGATAGAAGAGATTCATTCTTCCTTACGTGCCTGTTCTCCTATTTGTAAAAAGGACAGCAATGACTCTTCCACTCCATTGTAAGGCACTTAATAAATGTTAATAATAATTAAGTCAGTCACATCTCCCAGACAACATTGTCAGGTCTTTTTTTGCAGTATTTCAGAACTATTTGGCTCAGGAGGGAGCTCCCACAAGCTCCAGACAGAAAAGGACTCACGAATTCCATCCTTCAATGAGAGAGGTCACAGAGGGCTGTGCCACAGCAGACATTTCACAAGCCCTGAGGAGCAAGAGCAGCACATGCTGCTGCACTACAGATGTTAATAGGTCAGCACTGTGAGTGCAATTTCCTGCTGGACAAAGCATTAAGATGCTCTAACAGCTAGTAGGACTGTGAAGTCTTTCTGGTTAAGAAGTTGAACTAGATTCAGTTTCTTGAATGAAAAGATGGGTTGTTTTTTTTTTCATCTTTATCACAAAACAAAAGCACTACTGGTTATGGAAAGAGCTGAAAAAAGAAAGACACTGGCTTTTTAAAGAAGCTACTAGCATTTCCTCTAGTACCCACCTTCTCCATTTACTGCTCTCACTCATAATGTTCATTTAAGTCTCTGGCATATGTTCATTTATTTAATGCAGCTCCATATGATCACTAAACAATACAGCAATGCCATATTACATCATGCAACATTACTGATATGACACTATTAGCAATACTCTACCTAATGAAGTTTATAAAGTCTTCATGTTTGGGCATTACAGAAAGATGAAAAATCCTGCTTTAAAGTAGCTCCTGCCTTCCAATTCTGTCCTTCACTCCTTCAGCATTGCTGAGACCATCTCACTCAGCTCATCTGGAGAGAACAAAAATAGAAAGAAAGCAACATACTTATTACATGCACTGTGCAATTTTCTCAACAGAAACGAGAATAAAGTTGATGTATGTGGAAACAATAATGCATTTTGTAAGTGACTGAACCTAGCACCACAAAGGAAAGTGCCCCTTCTGTAATACTCTGCTTAATGAATCATATCTTACTCATAGCAGATTACTTACCATTAACTCTGAACAGGACTTAATATGGTTAAAAATACTGCAAGCCCAGCTGCATTCTGGCTTTGTACTAGGTCTCTTCCCATATTCAGGCAGGTACAGCATAGGATGGACTGCTGGGTCCCTTTTCCCCACTGTGCATCTCACTGCTTCTCTCTTGGGTGCAATCTAGAAAGGCAAAAAATAAAAAGGGACATAGGGAGAATGGGGTATGGAACAAAAATACAGTATTTGTCACTAATTCAGCAGCATGTTTCTCTGACAAACATGGATTACAGACTGAGCAATGCAAGGGTTTCTTCATCCATTGACCCTGTATGTTTGTTAAATTCCACAGACACTATGTTACTGCCATATCCCATTGGATGGTGTTCAATCCTGCATGTTCCAAGAGGTGAACTACAAACAGGTGCCTATGGAAATCAAAGATCTGAGGAACAGGGCAGTTTAATTGCATTTTGCTAATGAAACACTGACAGCATTAATCACTTGCTCAAAAGCACAACAGTCTAACATTTATATGAGCATGGACACCAATTTACATCTGAACATTTCTGAGACAAGCAGAGTTCCTGCTAGGTAAACTGAGGCCAAGATTGCATGAACAAATCCAGGTCACAGGATGTGCCAGAAATGCAAGGAGAAAACAAACCCAGGTCTAGCCCCTTGCCTGCTATTAAGTTTTCCAGTCCCTTCTCAGCCAGCCTAAAAGTCTCTCCACCCTTCTGCAGCCTCCTCCCAAAGAACTACCTGGATGACCTCAGCTTAAGTTTTGCTTAGGGACACAGTAGCACAGTGTATATTACAGGGAATATCACCTGAACTTTAACTGAAGCAATAAATTAAATACTGAAATAAACTTAAGAAAAAGCATAAAGGAAAAAAATACCTTTAAAATTACTTTTGAAACTTAGGCTCCACAGAGCTGTCCTCTTCCCAAGAGACATCTATGAAACCTAATGCCCACTGGAGCTGGGAGACAGCAAGGTCCCACCTAGATAAAAGCCAGAAAGTCAGCACAAACAAAGCAATTCTCACACTGCCAATATCATAAAGAAGTCGTAGGCACCTTTTTATAATGACAGAGTATTCTTAATAAAAGCTTCAAGCAGGTTTTACAGCTGCATATTATCCAATGAAACCAGTAATAAACAGCACTGTAGAATTATTTAGTGCAACTCCAATACGCCGAGAGTCTCAACCTGGGTTTTATTTATCACACAGGCTAAAATGTTTGTTCTTGGCTTTACAGTAGCAGCCAAGCCTGTAGCTATCTTTTATCCCAGCACACTGCCATCTGGATATTGATACTTTGCTATGGGATATGAAAGAAGAGCATAGTTACCTAATACAGCTTAATTGAAAACACAGGACCTACATATTATACCATGCATTATTTTACACAAAATTAAATCTGAAGGGCATGAAAATTTCTGTAGATGTCAGCAGAGAATATTTCAGAGGTAAATGCTGTGTTCTTCATCAGCACTAGAAATGCTAAAAAATACTGTGAAAAATATGTGCTTACAAGAAGAAAAACCTCATTTTTGCTCTGTTGGGAAGAAAGAAATTGCTCAGAAAGGTGCATCTCCTTCAGGAAGAGCAGCAGAGTAATCAGTCACATGTTTATTAGTACAGAAAACTCTGTTATGGTGATCCATATTCACCTTGAAAGGTCCAGCTGGTTTGTTTTTCTCCTTAAGCAATGAATTAATAATAAAAGAGAAAAAAAATATGCTGGTTCTACAAATACATTCACTTTAATCTGTTAAAAACAGCTTCAAGAATCATCTACATCTGCACTACCCACATTAAGGAATACAGCCTAAAAAGCTCTAATATTAATAAAACCCCAGAAATTATGAACTGTTAAAAAGAATTCCTTGGGTGTAAGGCCAGAAAGGCTACCTGGCTTTATGTTTCTCCTCAGAGAGGTACTGCTGAGCTCTTGCAAACACCAGTCATAAGGACTGCAAATATATGTAAGTAAAGTAGATAAAGCACAAAATCTTTGGAACACAACATTGCTATTAAGACACTCATCTCTAACACCCACACCGAAGGCCAGATTCCAGCCGCAGGAGCTCCCACCACGCTGCAGCACCTGCAGGCAAAAGGGAATTTGCCACCATGAGGGAAGCTATGGGCTCATGTACATCCCATAAAACAGCACAGGGAGCCACAGCCATCCTTCCCACTGAGCTGCTCCTCATTTGCCATAAGAGCCAACTAACAGTAGATGTGGCTTGCTTTAAGTGAAAAACTTGTTCTAGACATGAAAGAACGCAGTTTTTCATTTTTCACTCAGAGTCTATTTTCTGCAAATGTCCATGGAACTGTAAGTAAAATAAACCCTAAAGACATTCTTAACTTAGTCCATATTATGCCAACAAATCCAAGCAAATAATGCCATTTAAGTTAATTACAGGAAACTTCAAGGAAACTGAAATACAGTTTCAGGTTCTCCCATGATACTGTCAAGATCTTTGGAGTTACATGCTCAGTACAACAACTAGGTGCTTGAAAGACTTGTCAGCTGCACTTCTGTATTTCATTCCACACACTAAAAAGGCTGCTGAAGCAATTTTTTAAAAAATAAAAAGATTGGAACTGATAATCAGGCTTCCTTTTGCAGACAAGAAGTGATTTGAAGTTGAAAGGCTTGGAGAGAAAAACAAAACTCTAACCTACCTAACACCCAAATGCTAGGCACAGAAGAGTAATTCTAGGTGTTCACGAGTTTACACCTCGCTCTCAGACCCAAACACAGAGAGTGTGAACAAGGAGCATCCCGGGCAAAGGAAGTGCAGGCAGAAGAAACAACAGAGCAGCTGAGGGTGTCTTGCTCAGAGAGCTCCTCCTTTACCCAGGCTCAGAGCCACAAAACACGGGCACTTGCACTGCACTGCTGGCCTGGAACTCCCAGCGCTGCACCTGAGGGAAGCAGCAGCAGTGTCGGCAGGAAAGGGCTCCTAAGTTTTACAGTCAATATTTCACACGCATTTTTTTTAGCTCTTGCCCAGTTAATAATGTATTGATTTAACATAGAAAGACACAGGCCCCTCCCTCCTCTTTGCATGCTAATTAGTTTGACTTCTATGGTAGTGCAAAGATGAGAAAGAAAATTTTCTCTTCATGCATAATTAAAAAAAATGAATATTCACATGTATTTATTTTTCTCTTATAAGTTGTTAATACTTCAAAATACACTGTATGAAACATCTCCTATCAGATGTTTCCAGCAGCAATTTCCACTACCATCCGAGTCTCACAGGTTTATTTTTTTTTTTAATAGAACAGCTTTAAATGAAACAGGGTATCTTGTAGAGGAATTGCTAATTAATTTTTTTTTCTTTAAGATGATTCTCTTTAGCGTCACATACATAATTGTTGGGCAATATTGTCCCAAATTGAACTGGAGAAACAAATTCAGTGTCTAAGGTCAGGTATTCTGATAAAGAAATATCAAAAAGGTTTTGAGAAAACAGCCTCCTTCTCATCTACCGCTGTAAAAAGAAAAAAAAAAAAGTTGAAATGATCTCCTAATGCATCTCCCTTCATAATTCATGCCGAAAGATGACATTTTCTCAGGATCTTAATTAAGATAATGATGAACACCTGTGTCGGCATTCTTTGGCAAGACAGCATTATCCATCATAATCTTTTAAGTACTCTCAAAAAAACCCAACAAAATCGTATGACGGAACCAATCTGTTGCCTCTCCTTGCACTAAGTTTTACATCTCAGACACACAGAAGAACGATTAGATCTTTAAAGACTGCAATAAAAACAGGATCGTTAGATTTTAAAGTTTCAACAGAAAGTAGTTATTAAATTAATTAAATTAAGGTGTATCATGTCCAAGATAGCCAAGTTTAACTCTATTCACTATAAGCCACCTGGAACCAAACCTTTTAGAGTTAGAGCCTACCAACAGCTGTACTTTTAAACTATAGTTTGCTGTTACTTTCAGGATCATTCTGCCTCTTTTCATTTGTTTCTCCCAGAAAGAAAATATTCTCAGCTGATCCCTACTGTACATTCATGCACTGATTTATTAAGCCACTTTATGCTCTACCCCGTTTGCACAATCTAAATGAAATCATGCAAAAGAAACCAGTGTAGAAAAAACAAATATGCAAATTCAAACGTTGCTGCATTTTGGGTCACGTTTTGTGCAGTCATCTCAAATCCAAGTTCCTCTCATACCAAAAACCCTACTGGAGTCCAACTACTAAACTAACCAAAGACCCAACCGATCAGACTGAAGGCTATAAAACAGGGATTTCAATTATTAATTATAGAAGCTGAATCTAAATTCACATGCCTAAATTTAAATTACATGAACAGTGCACAGCCAGACTGTAAATCTTTCCCACTGTTAAATAAGATTTTAAGGGCAAGTGTTTTTTCTATTGCATTAACAATTTATCTTACAAAAAATTATGAGAAAAATACACAAAGTCCAGAATTTTAATATCAACCTGAACTGTTATAGTTTCACTGGCAGCTGCAAAATACACAAACTCCTGATACCAAGAACTCGTCCATACCTTCAAATGCACATACCTTTAGCAAAAATGCAGAGAAGCAGCAAATGTATCCTCAAGCCCCACGTTTGTTAACAGCACTGATGAACAACATAAGAGTCTTGAAACAAACTTCTTATTTCCCTTCTATCAAGTGGTTGAAAAGTCCTGCAAAGCAGATTAGTCTTAAGCTTTCACATTTTAATATGCTGCTATCAGAGGAAAAAGTTGCTGTGACTAGTCATTCAGTAAAGCTATCAATGTGCAAATAAAGCAGAAAATAGAGACATCCTTAAGAAATGAGTCTCAAATTTGATATAAAGTGAAGGTGACAACCACAGCAATAGAACTATAAACTAAATGTTTCAATATCTTGAATAATTATCTACAGTTCTTTTAAAACTGCAAAGAATATAATAGTGGCATAATGTAGTGAGAATGTCAGTTTGATAGGCACTTACAATCCTGACGGCATAAGAGTCCTATCACTACCGTTTATTAATCAGCTCTGGTATTATGTTTGCAAGGCATGAAAGTATGCATGAACTCACCACAGTTTCCAAAATGTATGCCTACAGAAGAAAGATTAGTGGAACATCAGAAATAAAGAGGGTAATTTTACATGACGTTAACCTTACCTCCTCTTCAAAAAAGTCAGATGCCATGGGAAGATGGTTAAAACTTCTGCTTCTTCCTACAAAGAAAGCAGCACGGAAAAGCAGTTAGTTATTCTACTCACATATAAAATGAATGTTAAACGTATAAAACTTGACCAGATGATATCTCACTCCCCGAACAAGGGGGATTGTCAGAGGATTATGACAGAAGAGCTTTCGAGTGGAGAAAGAAATGCAGTGCTCCAGAGCGATCGCTGTAATGAAGCCGGGGACAAATACCGGTGACACCGTGCAGTCGAAAACTGATGAAAGTGCACACCTGTGTGGATTGAGCATGTAAGGGAGCGTGCGAGCCGGGGACCGACCTGTCCCGTTTACCGGGGCAGAACCACACGGAGTTTAAAGAAACGAAATTCCGCACACCGCACATTAAAAAATTAAAATTAAAAAACAAAACAGGGGGCGAGAGAAATGCAGAGGACAGGGGAGGGAACGGCCAGACGGAGCGCGGCCCGGCAGCAGCCGAGGAGGAGCCGAGCCCGGTGTGGCTCCGCCAGTCCCGGGACCAGCGCGGGGCCGGGGCCGAACCGCGCCGCCCGTCAGGGGGCGCCCCGCGGCGGGGCAGCGCCGCCACCGAGCGCCCGAGCGGCGCCGCGGGCCCCGCTCCCTCACCTCGGGCTGCTCCGAGCCGGGCTCGGCACAGGCGGGCTGCTCCGGGCCGGGCCGGGCTCAGCACAACCGGGCTGCTCCGGCCCGGGGGCGGCAGCCGCGGCCCGCAGCGCCTCCGCGCGCCGTCCTATCAGCGCCGCCTCCGGGCTCCGCCGCAACCGCGCCCGTGCTGCCACCGCCCCTCCACACCCCGCGCTGAGGGACAGGCCCGCGGGCCCGTGGAAGCAGCGGAGCGCCCGCCGCCGGCGGGGGAACAGCCAGTCATGCGCCGGGACGGCCGGGGGCGGGCCTGGCGGGGCCGCGGCCTGATGGGTACTGTAGTGCAGGGCAGGGCACGGCAGCGGGGGCAACTCTGCTGTACGGCGGGCAGCGCCCGCCCCGCCGGCCTCGGTCGTGCCGCGTCCCCCCCGAAGGCAGCGGGGACAGCGCGCCCTTCCCGCCCAGCCCCGGCGCTGCAGCGCGGCCGCTCGGCAAGTGCCAGCCTGTGCCCGGCTGGGGGGCTGTGGATGCAGCCGCCGGGACGAAGCCCCGGAGAGGGAGGGAGGGAGGGAGGGAGGGAAGGAGGGATTGAGAAAGCGGGGCGGCGTCGGTGTCGCCTCTACGGCGACACGGGGAGCTCCTGCCCCGGCCTGCCCGTTTTAAAACACACCCCTGCTCCTCGCGTCTCCGCGTACGTCCCGCGGGGAGCGCGGCGAGAGCATTAGGGTCGGGAAATGCAAAAGTTAAAAAATAAAATAAATTCTGAAAATATAAATCTTATGCTATCCCCCCCTCCCTCGACCGAGAAAGGCACGGCGGATCCCGATGGCCAGGGGTCCGAGGCCGCTGGAGCAGCTCCTTTCCTCAACCGCAAGGGAAAAAATATGCGAGAAGGGAATAAATCGGGATATGTTTCTATTGAGAAATATATCTGGTGGAATCACAGGAGATTACATCTTCTGATCGGCAGGGATTTATCCCGGTTCATATGGTTTTAATCTGCTTTCGCCTCGACCCTTCATTGAGCCGAGGGCGGGGGGAGGATACCCGGTGTGTTCCTTAGATCCGCGGGCAAACCCTCGCTCTGAGCGGTGTCTGCGGACCCATCTCAGCCCCCTCCACTCCCCTCCGGATCGCCCTTCTCCTGCGGCCGGCGCTGGGAAAGACTAAATCCGAGCCCTCCGCGAAGCTGATCCCGCTCCTGGCCGGACCCCGCCGCCGCTCTTCCCGCACAGCCGCCGCAACAGGTCCGGTGGCGGGGTGGCCCCTGCCCGCGGGAGTGACCGGCCGAGCCGCCCAGGGTTCGGGGAAGGCTGCGGCTCTTCCCCGACGAAAACCTCCTTTTTTGTTAAGAAAATCAAAACTAACAGCACCACCAGTCCACCGTATATCCCACCTCCAATGATTTAGCGGAGGGAGGGGCAGGGGCAGAGAGCACGAGGAGGGGTGACTGTGAAGAGGGGGAGCCGGGCGGCTAATAAATCTTATTAAAGATCTATTTTTTTTTTTTTCATATACTGATTGGCTTGCATTCCGGCGCAACGCGGCTCCGCACGGTATTTAGCACATGCAGAAAGTTGGAGCTGATCTTAAATGGCTCGGAGGTGACTGCAATCCAGGAGCCGGCGCACTTGAGCCTCTGAGCGCTGGGGAGGGCCCGGGAAGCGCGGAGCCCTCCCGCTGGTTGGGCCCGGCCGCGGCAGCCCAGCGGGGTCCTGCCAGTCCTTCCACTGACAACACCCCGCGAAGGAGGAGCCTCGCCGGGCCGTGCTGAAGGCGTCAGGAGCTGCAATTTCCAACTTAGCATCTTGGCAGGACCCTTCGGAAAGCGAGAGCGAGGAGGAAAGGGGGGAAAAAAGCCCCCCAGTGCAAGGGGGAGAGAGAGAGAAAGAGAGGAGGGGGGGAGGGAAAGAGGGGAAAGCAAAGGGGGGAGAAAAAGGAGGAAGCGGTGCCCGGCTGCAGGCGAAAGCGGAGCAGCAGCCCCGGCGCAGAGCAAGGTGCCGCCTCTGCCCAGCTGGCGAGGGCGGAGAGGCGCCCGCGAAGCCCCGGCCGCAGCCGCCCCAACCCGGCAGCGCGGCGGCTCCCTCCCGGCGCCTTGGGCTCCCGGGTATATGTGCGCGCCTGGCCATGTCGTATCCTCAGGGTTACTTGTACCAGCCGTCAGCGTCTTTGGCTCTCTATTCCTGCCCGGCGTACAGCACCAGCGTGATCTCCGGACCCAGGACCGATGAACTTGGGAGATCTTCTTCGGGCTCCGCTTTTTCCCCTTATGCCGGATCTACCGCCTTTACCGCCCCTTCCCCGGGTTACAACTCCCACCTCCAGTACGGCACCGACCCGGCCGCCGCCGCCGCCGCCGCCTTCACTTCCTACGTGGTAAGAGCAGCCGCGGGCAGCCGACACTGCGCCGGGCACGACGGCATCCCGTGGGCGCCTGTCCCCCCCTCCCGGGCCTGCTTTTTGTTCCCATTTTAATTTTGAGATCTCGGGGACAAAAGGGAGCGCGTCTCATCGCCTCGCCGCCCAACTTTCCCGCATCGCCGCCGTGCCCTGCCTCACACTGTTGCTGGCGGCAGCGGCGGGCAGGGCCGGGCGCGGGGGGAGCCGCCAGCACGGCCCGGGTGAGCAGGACCAGGGCAGGCGGGGACCGGTTTCATTCCCTTAAAAAAAAAAAAATTAAATGTATAAAAACCACCAATCATAGTTCTGCAACAATTAGCTTGTTGTGATTGAAAAGGGAATGAACTCAGGACGGGTCGGCGATGGGAGAAATCCGGGTGATAAATCCAGGCAACTTTCCCCTGCCCGGCGATAATTAGGCTTAAACATTGCAGAGCTCTAATGCCATGGCCGCGAGCTGCTCCGCGGGGCTGCGCGGGGAAGGGAAGGGGAAGGAAAGGTAGGGCACTGCGCCGCCGTGCGCGCCCGCGGGGCACCGCGGGGCCAGTCCGAGTGCGGGACATGCACACCGCAGAGCTGCGGCCACAGCCAACGCCCCTCAGTTCCCCCGAAAAACCGGCGACTTTGGCTCAGCTTCTCCTCTATGTTTAGGGTAGAGTTTTACAGTTCCTTCTTTCCTTTTTCTGTATCCTTTTCTTTTATTTTACCTTTTTATTTTTGCCGTCCTTCTCCCCTTTTTTGTTTCTCTTTTATCTTCTTTTCTTCTCTCTTTTCTTCTCCCTTTTATTTTCTCCTCCTCCCGTCCCTGGGCAGAGAGGAGCGGCCCAGCCCGCCCGGCCGCCTGGGCCCGGCAGGTTGTCTGCCGCGATCGCAGCGCGGGGGGAAGGCTCCGGTCCCCCTGCCGCTGTCCGCCCCCACGCCGCGCTGCCCTCTTGCTTTTCCACTCCTGCATTTGGGGGAGAACCGCTGGATTGCTGCAAGCAGCCGGTGGTCTCCTGGGGTCGGAGACTACGGGCCCCGGATAGCCCCCAGGGCCCTTCCTCCCGGGAAAGAACCGGAGGACAAGCCGGGCAGGGCCCGGCGCCGGGGGAGAGGCGGCGGGGCGCGGGCAGGGGCTGCGGGCAGGCCCTGGTGCCGCCTTTGCCCTGTCATTGCCGCCCCGCGGCCGCTGACCTCGCCCCGCCGGGCCCTCTCCCCTCTCTCCCCAGGGCTCGCCCTACGACCACACGCCGGGCATGGCCGGTTCCCTGGGGTACCACCCGTACGCGGCGCCGCTCGGCTCCTACCCCTACGGGGACCCCGCGTACCGCAAGAACGCGACGCGGGACGCCACGGCCACCCTCAAGGCCTGGCTCAACGAGCACCGCAAGAACCCCTACCCCACCAAGGGCGAGAAGATCATGCTGGCCATCATCACCAAGATGACCCTCACCCAGGTCTCCACCTGGTTCGCCAACGCGCGGCGGCGGCTCAAGAAGGAGAACAAAATGACCTGGACCCCACGAAACCGCAGTGAGGACGAGGAGGAAGAGGAGAACATCGACCTGGAGAAAAACGACGAGGACGAGCCCCAGAAACTGGAGGAGAAGGGGGACCCCGGGACTCCGGACACAGGTAGGACAGCGGGCTCGGCCGGGTCTCCACGGCCGCGCCCTCGGGGCTGCCCCCGGCCCGGTGCGGCGGTGGCTGGCGGCCTGTTCCCCCGGGCATGCAGCCGGGGCGGGGGGAGCCGGCGGGCAGCGGAGCGGGCCTGGCCATGGCGGGGACCGAAGGGTGGGCGGCGAAGTGGGTGGGCGGGTTTGGGGGCGCAGGGCGAGATCGAGAGCTGCCCCCCACCCCTGTCCTTTCTCCCCCTACCAGGAGCGGCGGATCCCAAGGCAGCGCCGGGCTGCGAGCGCCTCCAGGAGTCCCCCGGTCCCCGGGAGGCCGAGAGCGGCCTCAGCGACTCGGATTGCAAAGAGCTAGCGGAGGAGCGGCTCGACGGGCCGCCCGTCCCCCTCAAGGCGCCCGGCGCTTCCCCGCTGGGACCGTGTCCGGCGGGCCGCGGGCCGCCGCCGGCGGCCCCCCGGCCCCGCCGTGCTGGGCGGCAGCGGCCCGTCCCGCTCGCCGCCGCGGCCGCGCTCGCCGGCCGCGCAGTGCCCCTTCCCCAACGGGGCGGTCCTGCCCCGGCCGCTCTACTACACGGCGCCCTTCTACCCCGGCTACACGAACTACGGCTCCTTCGGGGCCCTGCACGGGCACCCCGCCGGCGGGCCCGCCGCCGCCGCCCCCGGCGCCCACTTCAATGGATTAAATCAGACTGTCCTCAGCAGAGCCGAGAGCCTAGCTAAAGACTCTAAAATGATCAGGAGCCAGTCCCAAGTAGACCTTTGCAAGGACTCACCTTACGAACTGAAGAAAGGTATGTCCAACATTTAATATCGGCTTCTCCTCCCTAACCCCTCCTGGGACTGTGGTTTTGTTCCTTTTTTTTTTTTTTTTTCCTTTTTTAATTTATTTGAGAGAAATAATAAATTGCTTTGGCAGTTATTTTTCCAGTACCAAAAGAAAAACAAAACAAACAGAAAAAGACCAGCTCCCCCCTCCCTCCCAGCCCCTCTTCAAAAGTTTATAGAGTCTATTTGAAATGGCTGGTGGAAACCGCCCAGAAATGTCTTAAGCAAGTGAAAAGCAAACGAGTGACACGCTCTCTCTCACACACACAAAGAAGAAAGATTTGTATTAAATCTTATTCTGTATATTTAATGTAGCTTTTTTGTATTTAAATTGATAATACAGTATCTTTGAAGTAAATTATGAAATCAAGAAAACTGTACAGGCATTAATGTTGTTTTCGTAATATAAATATATACATTTCTGTGTCTTTTTCCGAATTGTTTCATAGTTTTAAAATATATATATACAAGTTTAATTTAAATTTTTATGCCTATTGTTTTTTTTCCTTGGGTGTGAGTTAAACTATAATGCAAAAACGAGACAAAAAAAGGAAATAGGTTATAAGTATTAGATTTAAAAAAACCCAAACCTGCAGCCGCCTTTGTAAAAATGCAAATATTTAATTAAAAGAGATTTTTAACAGAATCAAACCCACTCTCTTTTTGCAACAGGCAGATACGTGCATAGCTGCGAAATAATAAAAGCATTTCTTAAAAGAGACGCGGGGCTCCATTTAGGACCTCACACTAATACCTGAAGCCTTTTTGGAAGTGGCAGGGCATTTTTAAGAGGTCGGGGGCTCCGGAGGCAAGAGCCGCCCGCAGGGCCGGGAGCGGCGAGCGGCGGCAGCGGGACGGGGCCGGGTGCGGGAGGGACGCAGTTCCCAGAGGTGAAGGCTTAAATCAGGCCACGCACAAAAGCACTTGTTAGAAACACCAAATCGAAGCGCAGTCCCATCTTTTAACCTAATTACTTCCAATCAGTGTCGTGTTTTATGCAAAGCAATCAGCTGGTGAACTTTGCTAATGAGTTCGATTTTCTGCCAGATTTAGCCCGCGTCGCTGCAGCAGCGGTGCTGCGGCGGCAGCCGGGGCCGCCGCCTGCCCGGGCAAAGGCGCTCGGTGCGGCGGGGGCACATTTCCCTTCCCCCGCTGCCCAGCCCCGGCGCGCAGCCCCGCTGTGCCCGGCCCGCGGCTTGGGGCGCTCCCGGCGGGGCCCGCGGGCGCGC